TTCTGAAGGGGCTAGGACAGCCATGAGGTGATTCCAGAGCACCGATCACCAGCATCGACAAAAAAGAGGTCCCCATCACCAGCATCAGCGTCAGTAGCCAGTGGCCAGTGCTTTTCAAGGGGTCTGAACTGGCAACTCCACAATTTAGTAGCAACGTTTAGCAATTCCCCCAGGCTAACATGGAAGCTCCAAGGACCCCTTTCGACGACTTGGCTCCATTTACGGAGGCCTTCTGGGAGCTTCCATGTTAGGAATGTAGCGACTCAAGGTCACAGTTCGTCCTGCTTTCCCGACCCACAAATCTGTCAACACATCTCCCCAGTCTCTTGCCCTTGCTCTCACAGCCCTTGCTCTCCGAGTAAACAGGTGTGGCCCTCACATCATATTATATGGGGGTTGTGAAAATGGTCCGATAAACATGGGAGACCATTGGTTGGAAAACCACTAAAAGGATGTGATATTTCCCACATGGGACACGTTACCTGATATTTCCCACATGGTCATTTGGGGGCCAGGAATATTGACTCAACCCCCATTCGCTCAGTTCTGCGCCAAAGGACAAGATAGAAAGAGTTAATATTTACCGAAAGCATCACCACCACCCGAATCTGAACCACAAGAAAACAAGAATGGCGGCGAGGCCATTGTACCGTTTCTGTACAAGCTGGTTTGCCACCCGCCCCAAACGCTGGATATCATTATTTGAATGCATTCATAGATTCACAACCGATGGGGCACGTTCATTGATTCATCACCTCGTGCCTAGAATAGCTCGCGTGACTCACAATACCTTTGCTGGAAGCGTTGCTGCGGCGCTATTCAAAAGAGCTGCCAATTGGATCATCTGTGCCAGATGTTGCATCACAGATGTTCATCTGCGCCCATGGATCATTCGTGGCTTCTGGCGCCTTCCGGCCCGGTGCCTTCCGGCAGGACATGGGTGCAACGGGCGACCGCCGTGACGCCGTGTTCGTGTCTCAGGCCATGGCCTGGTCGGCCAATGCTTCCCACTGAGAGCTTCTGAGGGACACAATTGGCCGCAGGCCATGTATCATTTCTCGCCAATGAGAATTCACCACCGTTTTGTTGTTCTTTTTTTTCAAGTTTCTGATTGGAGGCAAGTTGCTCCTGCACGCCGTACTCCACGAGAAAGTTCACCACGTCTTGAATGCCTCCCTGAAAGGGCACCTGAGAAAAGCCAAAAACCGGTTGCTTCAGCTGCAAGCTGAAGCGACAGCTGCCAAACCTCTCTGACCAAATCCCCAGATGCCAGCATTCCGGAAACAGAACCTGCGCAACACCTTTGGTCTTTCTATCCGTGCCTTTGGTTCTATGCGCCGAGTGCAATTCGGACTGGCGTCGTCGAAAGCCATGACTTGCATTGTTTCAAGAGTAAGTTCTGGAGACCCGAACATGGAACCTAACCTAACCGGCTCCTAAGCCACTCTCTAAAGGGGATTCTCTGGTAGTTCTATGTTGCTCAAGTCGATGGGAGGGTAACCCATGCTGCGCATTCAGAAGAAAAACTCGAGGAAAGCAAAAAACCACTCGGAAAACAAACCAATACAAATAATAGGACAAGCTGGGGAGTTGCCAAAACTTTGGTTTTAGGCTTTCGAGGTGTTCTTGAATGTCCGGCATTGTCCCTTCAAAAAACAAAACACTCAGTGGTGCTTCAATTCTTCCCCTTTGACACTCACAAACATACACACACACACACACACACACACACACACACACACAAACACTGAGACATGTTGGCTTTGAAGCATGATCCTGAGCTTGGCTGGTTGTCACGGAGGGGCAAGTAAATGTACCAAACAACAAACACAAGTGAGGGAAATCACACAAACAACAACTCTACAAAGCAAAAACACACCTTTTGGCAACACCAAAATTATCCTTTGGGTTCTTTGTTTGCTTTGTAAGTTTTCTAAACTGGATTTTTGTTTTCATGGGTTTTGGTGGTAAAAAAATGGCTTTGGTGGTTTTGTAGACAAGTGTGGTGCCAACACTAAAGGATTCAAGTGTGGCTCACATGGCTCGAAGAAGCACCGAAAACACAGTGTTTATTTCCTCCAAACTCCGAATTAAAACCACTGTGTAGATTTGCAGGTACATAGTACATATGGCCGAATTCTGAATTTGGCCGAATTCCCGTCAAAGTCAGATCGGGGGCAATGAATTTCCAAACGGCCGAAGCCGCCCTCTCATCCAAGGCACACCTCTGAGCCGGATCACGTTGCTATTGGCGCCTCAGAGTCTTTTGAGAAAAAAAAAATGGCACCTTGGAGCCTCGGAGTTTCTGGGAGCAAAGCACAGGTTCTCGTTTCTTTTTGTTTTTTCACATCTACAATGAGATCCATGCGTTTTTGTTTGCTGTGTTTTCAAGAACAAACCATTTACCCTCCCGTCCACGAAGATGGAACCCCCCATTTGGAACATGGTCTGCCATGTTGGGGGCCCGGGGGCAAGGCCAAGCGGGAGCCTTCGATTCCAGGCATCCGGGAAAGAAACAAGCAGCCCGGCCAGAAATCTCTCGGAGAACAATCCTTCGGCGAGTTCCGGAAGCATGGGCGCCAGGAAACGTAAGCCTTGCCCGCGTGTACGATCCCCGAACAAACTTTCATCTTGAAAGCAACGCCCTCCAAGTGACCCGTCTGGTGGAAAAACGATTAATTCTTCACCGCTGGACCAACCAAGAACTCCAGGAAAAATTGACTTCCTCCCGGGATGGGATGGAGCCAGTGGACTGGAAGGCCCATGGCTTCGGAACACGTGGCCTCGGGTTCGGGAAGGCCAACGGACTGCGCTTCGGCGTCTCGGTGGCCAAGTCTCTCGGGCCGAAGCAAATTGAGGCACTCAGCAAACTCCAGCCGAATCTGGACACGTCAGAGTTGCGGACTGTCTCACAACACCTGGCTGTTCAGTTCTTCAAGGACCTCCGGGCGTATCTGCTTCTGGAGTGCCCAGCCCCCCCAAAGAAGCCGATGCTCAACATCGGCTTTCTGCAGTTCCGCCTCCCAGACTCCCACACTAGAGGCCCTAACAGCAACAGCCCCCTCCATTTGCTCAAGTCCCCTGGAGAAAAAACAAGAAAAAACCAAACAAATATTCTTAAGCAAATGGAAGGCTCTCAAAAGCCACATTCGCAGATCCCCGCTCCCGCCGCGCGACATTGTCTCTGTTTTTGGCACCGTCCACTTTTTCCGGCGCCAACTGAGTCACAATCAAAACCCGGGATTCAAATGGTCTGCCCAAAACCATGTAAGGAAATACAAAGACCGCCGCAGCTGTTTCTGGCTGGGACCGTGCCTTACTAACCTTCATCTACCCGGGTTTTGAGCAAGTGGCTCAACTTGTGAACACCTGTCCCCCCTTTTTCTTCCTCGGGCAAGGCATAGACTTCTGGTTCGGTGAATCCAGTTCTGAATGCCAAAAACAGAAGCAAACTCACCGTTTAGAGCGTTGCTAAAATTGACACCAAACGACATACACACGCACACACACACACACAAACAAACCTATCCAATCTCCAAAAAACCGCAAGCAAAAACGCTTGCGAAGGTGTCATTGCAAAACATGCAAGCAGAATAGACTCGTGCGTGTTGTCGTTGCAATGCCTTTGGAAGTTCAGCTCAAGGGGCAACTCAAAATGTGGCTTTTTGCATTGTTGGCCCAAACGCACAAGGAGATTGTTGCTGGTCAAGACAATGGTTGAACACGTCAATGGATTCTAGCTCTGGGTAATATGTTGCTTCTTTTTTGGAAGCTAGCTTCCTATGTTCAAGCCATATCTAACGGTACAATGACCAATAAAATAGGGGCTCGTACCAGAGGTTAAAAAGAAAGCAGACATTCAGTTTAGAGTTATCCTGCCCCGAGTTCACTGAGAAGCCACATTCTGCCTGCCAACCCGCTCACTGAATGCGGCACACAAACACAGAGACAAACACAAGTGGACCCCTTTGAACCGGTTGTACTCCTTTTCCTGCCTTTTGAAGCCACAAAGGCGACCCAACAAAGCATGCCCCCGTGACTTGCCAAACAAGAAACAAGGAGAGTCCTGTACTGGGGCTCCATGAGAAAAAACTCACACCAGTGTCTCCGGGTAGTGCAGTTTCCGACCTGCCCAAACCCCTGAAAGCACAAAGCAAACGCGTGGACAAAGGCAGATCAATCGAGAGCCAAAAGGTCCCAGTGTCAAGTTCGCCAAGGAACAAGAAGTCGGTGCCCCGCAAAGTCTGGAGTCGCCAAATCGTGGACCCAGCAACATGCAGGAGCCACTGGAGGCTCCATGCGCAAAACAAACCAAAAGGCGCCGGGGTCAGTCTGAAGCTCAGAACGTTTCCCCGTCGGACGTCTGACCCGGCGTTTTGGCAAACGAATTCAAGCTCACCGCTCAAGCTTCGGAGCGATCAGCGCGTATGCGCGCGCAAGAGGCCCCAGTGGCGCAGGGAAAGAAGTACCTGAATCCTTCGGTGATGTGTGCCGGTGTGCGTGTGTGTGTGTGTGTCACCTAAATTGTTTTGTTTGGTGGAAGTTTAAGGAAGACACACGACCACATGATTTGACCCCGAACCTGACTCCCAAGCGCCTGACGCCTGGTGCGGACAAAACTTGTCGATGCTCTGAACAAAAGAAAACAAGAATGGCCGAAAGCGAGGTCATTCTGCTTCCCACCCAAACATTCAATATCGAAAACCCTGTCAATAGCTAGGAAACAAGGCTGGATCTTCCAAACACTGAAATCTAAGGTCCCACGTGCGAATGCGTCTGGGCTTCATGCAACGCGGCGTCGCGCCACCCATTACCAGGCCACCCATGTCCTGTCCACGACCCCAAGGTGTGACGCCAAAATTGCAAGACATGCCGTGGGCAACTGCCCGGAAAAAAGAAAACAGAGCTGAGCTGCCGAGTTGATCCCCGAGTAGAAATTAGACCGTTCAAATTCAAGCCACATGCATCCTATTTGTTTTTCAAGACACATGGCTCGGGAATCAACGGTAGCCAGGGCTGAGCATTTTGCTGGAGACAGCCTCGGAGGCAGCCTCATCGCTCTCTTCATCCCTGCATATTGTTAGATCATCGCAAAAGCCGACGCGAATCCGCTCGTCTCGCTCGGCCTCTTGCTGATCATTGGCGAGCATCAAGAACCTCATGCACGGCAGGGTGTCTTGTTCATGGCTATTTGGGTCCGATCATAGGATATGGGCAGCTGAAGAAATCAAGGGGGATTAGATCAGAACCAATACAAGAATCCGCACCAAACAAGGATGGCTGCATTGGTCAAAACAAATAAACAGTACCAATTGTGTTTTTCAGGATGATACTTTAGTCTGCCCCCATGCAGCAGAATAGCCAAGACCGCCACTTGCAAGCGGGACGTAGGAAACAGGAGAGCACACACAGGAATCAATGCTCTCCAAACTTCGGGTGACATGCTCCCCTGACAGTTTAGTGACTAGCTGAAATTGAACCATGCCGAAACAAACACCAAGCACCCGATAATAAGTCTGCAACCATCCATGCAATATAAAACGCACACACATACAAAAGAATAGCCACAGTGGACAGACCCAAGCTGAGCGGCATGTCTGCGTCGTCTGGATCCAGCATCTCATGCCTCAATGCCTCCATCTGGCCGTGATTCGCACGCCAAAGAGCATCCAGAATGAAAGCGCCGAGCTTGTCGTTGCTCTGCGAGAAAAGGTGCATGAAGTGGCGCTTGAAAAGAATGTGGCTGATAGGCGCATGCTGCCAGCGGTGAACGGGTGTTCCCGGATACAGAATCAACTTGACTGAGTAGATCACTACCTCGGGATATGTGACGCTTCGAACATGCTTCACTGCTGCCCCACCCCCCACCCCCCAAAAAGAAACAAACAAACAAACAAAAACACATCAGTGGCTCGCTCGCTCAGTCGCTCCCGCTCTCTCCCTCTCTTTCAACCCCCCTCGCTTGTTCACTCATGAAATTTAAACACTTTGACACAAACACAAAACATGCATAACACACATTCGCACGCACATGTACACACTCGCGCGCGCGTGCACACTGCGCAGACACCACACACACACACTCTTGGAGCGTCCAGTGGAAGCGGCGACAGCCTCCGCTCAAGCTGAGTCGCGGCCAAGTCGAACTGCATTTTCATGAACTTGACAGCATCTACGTGATAAAGAGAGGTCTTGGCAAAGCTCTTCACCAGGATGGAGTGGCACACCTGTCAAAGCCAGAAACTCACCAATTTCCATTGTACCGGTCGAGCAGGCGGTTTGACACCTTTTGGTTGTTTGCCGGTGCAGAATTTCGCCTTGGATTGGACTAGGCTAAGGCCAAGGATTGTCCGAAGCCAAACAAACCACAAAACCAACACTAAGACACGGTGGCAGGGCAATTTCTATGTGAGTTGCCAACCGGACTCCGGCTTGGGGCTTGGTTGCATCTCGCCTTTACCGGTGGCGTACTGGCATCCGGCTGACAAGCGCCAGGTTGTGAATGGAATCTTCCTCCATGTGTAGCTCAAAAAGATGAGAGCCAGGGGGTCTGAACCGCAGGTTGAGTTGATTTCTCCATTTACCATTTTCCATGTTGGGCCGATTCCGATTTTTGAGCCATTCAAGGCTTGGAGCTAGGACAAGGTCAATGGATGCCACAGATTTCGGCCCCGGTGGGGAATGCTTTCTCTGAGCATTTGGGCCTTGGCTGTCTCTGTTGAAAGCAACATCTGAGAAGGAAGCCCTCTGCTTTTTGACATCCAGACCAAACGAAAAAGGAGCAAATGTAAATACCCGCAGGCATTACCACCAGAAACAGATAGGAAACTTGCACCCGCCAGATTCCCATCAATCGGAACCGATAGGGAACCGCCTCATATGGCCATGAGGCTGTCTCAGGCGCACATGGCACACTCTGCTGCATGCAAATGCAACAGTGCTTCCTTCTCAATGGAATCAAAATCTGGTACGTACAAGCACATATCCTTAAAACAGCCTATCATACTAGCCGACTAAGTGGCTGACTAACTAGTACTGTCCACGGATTGACTGACTGACTTGCCCGCTAGCCAGCCAGCTGGCCGGCCGGCCAAAACAAGCAAGCAACCAAGCCCGCAAGAGCCAGCTAGCAACCCAATCCACGAACAAATCAACTAGCCTTTAACCCCCGTAGATTCGTATGTGATGGCAATTCACTGTTGGACTTCAAACCAACCGGACACAAACACACACACACACACAAACAATGAAAAACAAACACAACGACAAACCAAAACAAAAACAAACACAATCACAAGCAAAAACCAAAACAAAAACAAACACAAACACAATCACAAACAAAATCACTCACACACAGACAAACAATCAATCAATCAATCAATCAAACAAACAATCAAGCAAGCAAGCAAGCAAGCAAACAAACAAACAATCAAACAAACAAACAAACAAACAAGCAAGCAAGCAAGCAAACAATAAATCAATCAAACAAAACAAACAAACAAACAAACAAACAAACAATCAAGCAAAACAATCAAGCAATCAATCAAACAAACAATCAAACAAACAAACAATCAATCAAACACACAAACAAACAAGCAAGCAAGCAATCAAACAAACAAACAATCAACCAAACAAACAATCAAACAAACAAGCAAGCAAAGCAAACAATGAATCAACCAAACAAACCAATTAAACAAACAAACAAACAAACAATCAATCAAACACACAAACAAACAAGCAAGCAAGCAATCAAACAAACAAACAATCAACCAAACAAACAATCAAACAAAGAAGCAAGCAAAGCAAACAATCAATCAAGCAAACAAACCAATTAAACAAACAAACCAACAATCAAGCTAACAAAAACAAACAAACAAGCAAACAAACAAACAAAAAAGCAAGCAAACAAACCAACAATCAAGCAAAAAAAAAACAAGCAAACAAAAACAAACAAGCAAGCAAACAAACAAACAAACAATCAAACAAACAAACAATCAATCAAACAAACAATCAACTCATCAAACAAACAAACAAACAATCCACCGATCTCCACAAGACAGGACTTCAAACTTGCCCGAGGGGCCATGGCGCTGATCCCTCCCGCCAGCAGAAAGCCCAGGATTCGGTAGGTCCTTCGCTGCTCCAACTCCCAGGTGAAAACCAAGTAGGAGGCGCTCCTGCGAAGTCTCAGCTGTTTGGCAATTTGGGTATGGCTCAAAATTAAAGAGCTGGGGTTACGCGGGTTTTAGTCTTTGGCTCCATTTACCAAGGTGCCATTTCCGTACCACCTTTCTTGAGCCACAGCCATTTAGGAGCGGCGGTGGTTGAAATAGAATGGGGCATGTCATCCACTTCTGCAGAGGGGTGGCCTCCCAAAGACTTGAAATTTCCTTAGATTCACGGAGGCGCTTGGAGAAACCGCTTGATCCCTCCACCCTGCTTAGGGGTGTCTCATTTAGGGCTTCAAGTCCAAACCGATCCAAACCACCAATTAGGGGAAAGCCCAAACCGCCAATCCAAGCCACCAATTAGGGGAAAGCTGAAAATCCTCGCGGAACTCAAGGTTTGTCTTGTAGGGGAACCCCCCAAAGCAGCGGTTTCCTGTTGGCTTCCCTGTCAACCAACCAAGTCCACCGAAAAACAACACACCCAGTCACCGCGGTGGATGGCCATGGGTTTCCAGGAGGCGAATCAGTCAGTCTCATGCTGAAATGTGAGGCAGCAGCAAAGAACAAAAGCCCCTTTGCGACAAGGAAGCCAGCAATCTCAAGCCTCCGAAACCTGATTTGCGGGTTTTCCTCGGTGCTGGCTTCGTCTTCAACCAATTGAGCAGCGTTCAAATTGGAGATTTGCTTACAGGCTTACAATATGAGGGCGCTACTTATGAACACCCCCAAGCCAAAGTGTAGAACCCGTTCATAACCCATTTCACTTGTGAAGTGATTGTCATCGGGTATGCGTCAAAACAGGGATTTGAACCCCCAACATGGCGAGCTGAAACAGAAAACCTGCAAAAAGCTAAAGCGCAACTGCCGTTGGAAGAGTTTCCATTCCAGCCAAAAGGAAAACAAAGAGCTCGGCTTTGGACCTGCAGTCGGCGCTGAACCCTTGTAGTTGCGCCAGTTTTGTCCTAAATCACTGAGTTAGGACAAAACTGGCGCAACTTTACAAATGCATTGGTTGTGCTTGCTGATTCAATGCTGTTTCTGGGCCACTCATTTCATGCCGGCTTTCTTTCATCTGCCATGCGGGTTATAAGACAGAAATTGTGCAGTCCCCTTGGTTTCAGCACTATCTCTATGTGGCGGAAGAATCGAAGCGACCGACTGAAAAGTGGAAACTAAGGCAGCCAAATGCTTGCAGGCCAGACCTGGAAGTTAAGGAGTCAGAATCAAACTCGTGATAACGAACCAACGATTGTTTATGGTTGGGACTGCCTACAAGCAGTCAACTGTGGCCAACTGGCTTCTTTTTGTTGAGGGTCCACTAAACTATTTGTGCTTTGAAGAGGGAAGCCAAAAGGGAAATTATTGTGTCCACATTGGGAGCAAGCCACATCTCATACATGTCCTTTGCCAAACAAGAATCCGGCTTCCCCTCATCAAACCTCATGTTTCACAAACAAATTTTGGCAAGCGTTGAACGAATGGGATGTGTCAACATGCTCCATGGTGGGCTGGTGGACCCCCCGAAATGGCGGTGGGCCTCTCTCTCTCTCTCTCTCTCTCTCTCTCTCTCTTCGACGGAATCAAGCCTGAAGCTCCAGGATCCCTCTCGGGCGAAGCAAGTCAAGGAGTAGACCACCAAAGTGCAGCACATCAGCAAGGTGAACCAGGTGCCCAGGATGGCCACTCGCAACGCCTCTCGTTCAGCGTACAGCTGGCAGCCGAAGCGGGCAGGCAACTGATTTTTTGCTTTTATTTTTCGGTTCGCTTGGGTCCATCCATGGGGACCGAAAGAAAAATGGGTCCCCTCACGTGAGTGGATTGGCCAACAAGAAGTCTAAACTTGGGGATTGCCACCAAAGTTCGGTCTTCCACTCAAGTCCAGGGACTCACTTCCCGTGAGTCCCTGAGTCGACCCAACAACTGATGGCTGGCGTGGAGAAGCAAAGGAAGCTCAGCTTTGCGTCGGAGTCGTACATGTTTTTGGCGGAACACTTTCCGGCTCCCGACTCATGGCGTGCAAAGGGTGCTAGGAGATCTCTGGTTCCACGGTGGAAGTTCCACGGCCTGAACCCCACGCTGGAATGAGCATGTGCCAAACGTGCACAAACCAAAGCACACTGGAATACACACACACACAAAAAAAAAAAAAGTGATAGAAAACAACAACGCATTGAACACAACATGAACATGCGCTTCGAGGGAGGTCAAACAAACATCATGTCCCCTTCGGAGAAGTGAACATTCTTTCTGGGGCTAGGACTTGGCGCATGAAAACAAAGCAAAGTGGGAAGGTGCAACACGTCCGACTTCCAGCAACAAAGCAACAAAACAACTGCTTGACTTACCGAACAGGCGGGCATCGGCTAGCTCAGGATTCTCCTGGGCGATGGTTTTTGGGAAGCGGCCGTCAGAGCATCGGCCACAGTGTCACCATCGTTTGGATATTGTGCCTGCAACTTTGTGCCTCTGTACAGCCTCTGGTTCGTGCTCACACACACATACGAAAACAACAATCCACACCACCCTCACACGCCAGGACAAGCCGAGAAACAGCATAGCTTACCGTTCGCGCAAAAGAAACACAACGCAGCTCACCATGTTTGAGGATCATGACAGAGGATTCCCTTGGTGTCACACCATAAGGACCCAACATCCGCTCAGTTGCTCAAAGGACCTGGAACTAAAAGATTAACCTTTTGGGGTCATGACTCAAAATGGACCAACAGGAAAAGCCCAAAGCTCAAAATGTCGGCTTTGGGCATATGAGACCTCTGCCCGCAGCATGCAACTCGCTGACGCCGTGTTCGATGATCTTGAAGCCTGCCTGCATCTCCGAGAAGTCGCCCGCGAAGGGGCTGTCGAAAAGATACACGTGGGCCTCGCCACCTGAGTTCACAACACCAGACCTGGCATGACCTGGCACAAACAACACATGCGCATATGTCAAAATAGGGCTGCCCAAGAATCAGTGGTCTCCCTTTCGTTTCCCTTTCAACCAACCAACAGAAGAGAAGGTACCTTCAAACACACACACACACACACACACAAACACCCATAGTGCCATATGGGTGTGTGGTTTCTTTGCGGACAGCCTTCTTGCAAGTGGTACGAAAGCGTGTCGAACGGCGTTTTGGGCCCCTGTTATCCGAGCGGAGTATGGGTGTTTCCAAATTTGTTGTCGAAACTAGGGGCCACACTCCAATTGGTTGGTCTCATGGTAGTCACCTGGTAGTCTGTCTCCTTGAAACATGGACCAACCAGAGGCTATTGGACGCGCGCACGCACACATAATATACTTTCAAACCCACTGCGCCCGAGCAGTCGACCAACTTCACAAACACAGCCGTGCGAAGAGAGAGCCAAGATGACGGAAAACACAAAGGCAGAGGAAGGGAAGCAATGTCTGGCAAAACACGGTGCCGAATGAAAGGACCTGAAGTTTTGACCATTTTGCAATTTTCTATGGCAGAGCTCGTGCATCGAGTCTCTTGTGAACGTTCGGGGTTCTGAAAACTACCTTGGGTGCCCTTTGAAGTGCCACTCAAGAGTGTCACTTACCCGGAAAGGACCAGAAGAAAACCAGAACCAAGTACTCGGATCCAGCAGCGAAACACCCAAACTCCTAAATCACGAGCAAAAAAACAACAGACGAATTTACCCAATAAAGCCAGTTGCTTGCGTCCGCACGACTCCAGCTTTCACCTTCCCAATGCGCGTCTGACTCTGGACTCTGGAGCCTAGTCAGCTATGGGTTTTCGATTGTGGGTTCCCAATTTCCGAAAATGATGTATAAGGGCGCTCCCTCGGTGTGATATCCCGAAGGGTATCACAACTCCTCTTCAACAGTTCAGGGTCTCAGTTTCGCTGACAATCTGAATTCCCTTCTGCGCAACGCTTCCCAAAGTTGCTGGTCAACATATATTGTAGGCCTTGCCTCTGTCAATAAATGTCCTCCCTTCTTTACCAGTGCTAGGGGCGGGGGGGGTACTTCGCGCTGTTGTTCCATACCAATTGCGGACATAGTTACTGGCAAGGTCATAATTTATACCAATGATAACCAACTTGGCGGGCAGACTTACCACGACTTTGGGCAGAGTTACTACCAATTTATATTCCAATTTGGGGGCAGAATTACCACGCACTTTTAACAAAGTCACTACCATGTTTTACGGCAAAACGGTGGCGAAACTGCCAAGTTTGATTGAACACTGGGGTCAAAAATCAGGGTGCGCCACTTCTAGTATTGGAGTCCGATTGCTTTTGGAGGAGAAACCCCGGCTCAAATGTCACTATAAAATTGGTATAAGAAAATTGGAATAAATCTCTAGCAAATCCCAACGGCACGGCCAGATATATAGCAATTTTTGCAGCCCCGGATTATACCAATTTATACCCATGTTATACAAATTGTATGCTAAGTTGTTCTCTAACCTGAGCCCTTTGGCTAGAGATGTTTCTGCAAACTGCCATACAATTTGCAACCAATTGGTATATAACATTGGTATGAAATGAGTATACCGTTGGCATACAAGTGGTACACAATTGGTATTAAAAAAACCCTTCCATATTTTCTACGCAATCACTGTGAATGGTGTTCCGCTTGGCTTCCCTCTGAAACCTTCCAAACAGATGCTCAATGCGGCCTCAGGCGCGGCGGCCCACGCAGTCAATGTGGAATTGCCCAGACGAGAGCATGTCGTGGAAGGCGGTCTGCACGCATTGCTGCCTTAATTCTAGGGGCCTTCCCCATTCTTTCCAGGGATCTCTTTCTAGAAAACCTCCAGAAACCCAGGAAACGGCCAGTTTTCGAAAAGAATGGTTTCAAGCAGAATCCGCCGACAACAGACGGCGTGTTGGACATAAGAAATGCTCCTTACCTCTTTACCTGTTACCCCTCCCCTTACCCCTTTTGAGGGGCGCAGTTTCAGATTATTGCGGGTGGGGGCGTACCATGTGTGATGACACGGTTGCGCGAAAACATTGGGGTGTTCGATTCCCCGGTCTGCGTTTGCATCCTTAGCATCTCCTGGGCAACATCGCCAGCCTGCCAAGGATGCGGATGATGCAAGTGATGCTGGGGATGTTACCCATGCTGGTGATGGAAATTAAGGAAAATGCATGGAAATGAATGACATGAAGTGAAATGAAGGAAAAGGAAAAAAACAGACATAAAGGGACATGAAGGGAAGTGAAGGAAAGTGAAGGGAAATGAAGATCTAAAAAGGGGAAAGGGGGGAAACATATTTTAGGGGGGGACTGGGGAGAAGATCTTGGGTGGGGAGAGGGGGAAAGGGGGGAAGAGACCTTAGGAGGACAAAGCAGGCAACAGATCTTAGAGGGGAAGGCGTAGGTGGGAAAGGGGGGAAAAGATCTCAATAGGGGAAGGGGGGAAAAGATCTTAGGGAGGAAAAGGGGGAAGATCTCAGGAGGGGAAAAGGCCTTAGGGGGGAAAGGGGGGAAAGGATCTCAACAGCGAAAGGGGGGAAAAGATCTTAGGGAGGAAAAGGAAGAAGATCTCAGGGCGGGAAAAGCCTTAGGGGGGAAAGGGGGGAAAGGATCTCAACAGCGAAAGGGGGAAAAAGATCTTAGGGAGGAAAAGGGAGAAGATCTCGGGGGGGGGAAAGGCCTTAGGGGGGAAAGGGGGGAAAGGGATCTCAACAGCGAAAGGGGAAAAAGATCTTAGGGAGGAAAAGGGAGAAGATCTCAGGGGGGGAAAAGGCCTTCGGGGGGAACGGGGGGGAAATGATTTTAAGAGGGAAAGGGGGGAAAAGATCTTAGGGAGGAAAAGGAAGAAGATCTCAGGGGGGGACAGGCCTTAGGGGGGAAAGGGGGAAAAGATCTTAGGGAGGAAAAGGGGGGGAAAAGCTCTTAGGGAGGAAAAGGGAGAAGATCTCGGGGGGGGGGGGGGGGGGGAAAAGGCCTTAGGGGAAAGGATCTCAACAGGGAAAGGGGGGAAAAGATCTTAGGGAGGAAAAGGGAGAAGATCTCGGGGGGGGAAAAGGCTTTGGGGGGGAAAGGGGGGAAGGATCTCAACAGGGAAAGGGGGGAAAAAATCTTAGGGAGGAAAAGGGAGCAGATCTCAAGGGGGGAAAAGGCCTTCGGGGGGAAAGGGGGGCAAGGATCTCAACAGGGAAAGGGGGGAAAAGATCTTAGGGAGGAAAAGGAAGAAGATCTCGGGGGGGGAAAAGGCCTTAGGGGGGAAAGGGGGGAAGGATCTCAACAGGGAAAGGGGGGAAAAGCTCTTAGGGAGGAAAAGGGAGAAGATCTCAGGGGGGAGGGGGGAAAAGATCTTAGAGGGGAAGGGGGGCAAGGGGACAATTCCAAAGGGACGGCAAATAAGAAAGCAGGCCTGGCCTGAGCCGAAGGCGTTAAAATTCAAGAGGAACCACGAATTCCATGTTGGGTGGTTCCTCTATTTTGAGACACACCCGAATCCGCCCATCTGGAACAGCACCAAAACAGTGAGCATCCCAATCGAATTCGGATGCCTCGACTCAATGGGATGGTCCAAACACCATTGGCAGTCTCCAGGCCACCAGCCTGGCGGCTTCATGCGTGCCATTACCCGTGAGTTGCCGGCAAAGCCGGCCTTGTGCACAAACATTCCGCTTGAGCTGACAGGTTCATGTGGCCGAGTGGTAAAGGGCAAAT